TCGTGTTGGTGCTTTCTGTGTTAGTTCCGCGTTAAGTTTAGCAGATACGTTCCATGAAGCAGATGCGGCGTTGATGTGTGAGAGAGAGTGCTGTTGCTTTGAGATTATCTGCGAATACAGGCGTCTTGCTGGTCCTTGTGGAAGTGCTCGTGTCGCCAATCGAGAGATTTTTCCCTGTAGAAGAGGAGACTGCTTTTTCATTGTTTCACAAGACATGGTTGATTGAGCATTAACAGACTCACTCTGTGGGGGTATAAATGAGTCATTTACGATCTCTACCCCCTTGTCACTTTTCCTAGCTTTCCTCATTGGGTCCAACTCGTGGTCTTCTGAGGAGTTTGGCGGATTGGACAAAGTCAACTCTTGGTTAACTGCAGGTGATTCCATTCGTGATATACTGTTGGGTGTAGCTGCTTCGTTGGGTAAACTGTTTTCTAAGTGATGATTAAGCTTGCCACTGGTTTCTTCACTTGGGTTGATAGTACACGAGAAATACTCACATTGCGGGGGCATTGATGAGTCATTTACAATCTCTGCCCCCTCGTCAAGTTGCCTAGCGTGCCTATCAGGCTCCAATACTTGGTCCGTCAAGGTTTTTTCCGGCCTCGACGATGTTGCATCCGCAACAGCAATGCTGAGATTGTGTCTTAATAGACTGCCTTCTTTCCAATTGATTCTTGAGTGATTTCTTCTTATCCACGGCATTCCCAGTATAAGATCATACTTGTCTCTGAGGGATGTGATGATGAAAGTGGTGATTGTGGATTCGTCGTCAATGTGATAGTCGCCAGAGTGAGTACAGTCAACTCTGAAATAACCCATACCACTTATAACACATACTCTTGCCTAACCCATACTTTTTTTGGTCCACAATTTTCACTTTTTAGCCCCAAAGCCCATTGTGATAACACATACTCTATGAAAACCCATACCTTTTGGGGTCCATAAAAAGGTATGGGTTATTTCAGAGACAACTGTAACTCGGGATTCATGTCCGCTGAATCCGGTTACGCTGTGAGAATGTGATAAAGGAACAGTGTGAAGGTTATACATTCTCACAAACTTGAGGCTAATAGCCTCGTGGGTAGCACCACTGTCAATTAAGGCTCGTGCGGTGATTGTTGTGTCAGAGTTTGGGTCGTGGAGGGTAACATGGTCAATAATTCTAGTATCATTCATTTCAAGACTATCAATGTCACCAACTTCCACACCTAAAGGTATTTTGCTCGGGGGAGGCACAACTAGCACTCCCGAGCTTCTCCATTTTTTGACAACTCTGATCTACTTAAGTTTGTATCACTGATTTTGACTTCTGACAACTGGCTATCTAATTCTGCAATTCTGGCCTTTAACTGATCAACTTCACTACTTCTGAATCCTCCTCCTCCTCTCTTCTTTCTCTTTGCAATATAACAATTGGCGATCACATGGTTGGTTTTCCCACATTCATAATAAGCACGATTTGCCGCTCTTTTTCGATATTATTCTTGGGAGATGTTGATTCGATAAGCTGAGCAATCCATCGCATCAGGATCGGCGATTGGAGTTGATGAAGTGCTGGTTGGCATCGTTAAGCTCTGAGATCGGTTGTGCAATTTGTTGTCGAGTTTGATTGCGAATTGGGCCATTTCTTCTACACATTTGAACTCTTGTTGAATCATATAAATACTGACTTCGCGTTTGAGACCTTCAGTTGTCTCTGAAACAACCCATACCTTTTTATGGACCCCAAAAGGTATGGGTTTTCATAGAGTATGTGTTATCACAATGGGCTTTGGGGCTAAAAAGTGAAAATTATGGACCAAAAAAAGTATGGGTTAGGCAAGAGTATGTGTTATAAGTGGTATGGGTTATTTCAGAGTTGACTGTTGTTCAAAATGTGACATAAGGATATTTTCAGGCCATTTGACAACTAGGGAGAGCTCAGAAAACTTGATCCAATAATCGGATACAGCCTTAACTTGCTTGAGACTACGAATTTTGTTTTCAGCTTTGGCAAGTCTTTTGGTATCAAAGAATGTAGCACGGAAAGAGTTGGCAAAGCTAGTCCAATTGACAAGGTGAGCTTGTTCTGAATCTAGCAATTGATCGGTAAAGGCTTGACTCCACATGCTAGCTTTCCCGGTCATGTAGGATATTGCGAACGCAACTTGAGATTTTTCGTCAACAAAGGACGTTGAATTCATTTGCATGTAGATTCCAATCTGATTCATAAAAATCTCAGCTTTAGATCCTTTAGACCCATCAAATTTATCCGGAGTAGCGATTTTAGGTGGTCTGATATGTTGCACCTGTGCGTGGGTTGCACCAGCGCTTACTGGAAACGATGGGATAGTTGAGGAAGGCATAGGAGGAGCTTGAGCTGCAGGAGCTGATCACGACGTTTGCGTTTGTTCTAATTGCAGTAATCTTTGCTCGACTTCAATACGTTTGGCGTCGGATGCACGTTGGTTGGCTTCAGCCTGTTCTCGGCGATTGACTTCCTCATTTAATCTAGCCGTTAGATTATTGAGTTGCTGCATAACACCGGCCAAGCTAGCTTCTGACATGTTGACTTCCGACATATGTGGATTAGACGTGGGTTCGAGAGCGTCTAGGAATTCAGAGTCGTGGTCTGTAGAAGTTGTAGAAGTCGGACTTTGGGGGGTCGTGAATTCCGGCGTGGTGGTTGATTCCGAGGGAGGCTAGTAATTGAGTCTGGATCTTCAAACTTTTACAGATCTTAAACTTTAATCGATTCTTGAATTATCTAATCTTCTAATCTTTACTTTCTCCGTATAGTTTTGCTTCTTTGATCTTCACTTTTGTTTTACTACTAACTTTAATTAACTTTAACTTTCTTTTCTTTTTTCGTTTTGATTGCTTTTAATTCTTCTTTTTTTTTTTTTTCTTGCTTGTTCTTCAATTTATCAATCTTCTCCGATCTCTTGAATTATGACGTTGCAATATGTAAGGACTCGACGTAGATAGAGAGAGATGAGAGATGATCAATAGTGCCCTTGTAGTACTGAGTAGATTGCAACGTGAGGAACATGGTCTGTGCTCGAGAGCGTACAAGATAAGTGGTCTACTATGTATAAGCATATCTGAAGTAGCCTAATACGGCTCATAACATCTCCAACACTAAGCCATCTAGGTACGTCATTTAACACCATCTTTTAGTTTTGTAGTAGCATCCATGTTAGGTCAGTTAATAACAAAATGAAATAAGGGTTTGGTCGCAACAAGAACAGACATATCAGTCCAGTCTAAAACAGACATAAGTTTAATCTGGAATGATCAATTACAAAAGTAATCACAAGGACCAAGATTTTCTACCTGCCGTGCATGATCTCTGATACCTCTACTGGACTCCTCGGGACTGTGGTCTTTGGGGCCGCTATCTCCAATCTCTTATGGAACTCTCTGGGTACCGTCGTACTTTTGGGCACCCATAACATTCACTTGACTCGCGAAAAGATGAAGGCTAGTTGATCTGCAAGACATCTAGATCCGCTTATAACATGCAAAACTCAAAAACTTTGCACCAATTAATTAATCATGAGTATACTTCATCTCGACTGGACATGGACTTCTACAGGGTCACTGACAATCACAAAAGACAACAACATTTTACCACATCAACTTTAAAAGACATAAATACCTTGAGACTTGAGAAACACAACTTCCCCTATCAACAAGGGTGCCTGGCATGCAAAGGTCCAAGACATCTCCTGGTGGAAACTCCCTCTCATGAAGTTTTGGATCTGAGGCTACCTTGAGGGCCACAATCAGCCTTAACTAAATAGGGTGGTATTTCCACAACTCCCAAACTTCATCCCATGATCAACAAAGTTGTCCATCCTACTTGAATTTGCAGCATCATAACCCACTCTAAACCACTTCATTGACAGTGAAAACCAACACTTTTTAATCAGCCAATTTCATACAACTCTGATATGTATGTTGTACCCAATGTTTTAATTGTATAATTCTTATATAGATCCATATTGTATCTTTCTCAAGCATCTGATCTGCGCTAGTATGATTCCACACAAACCAATTTTGTGATAAATGTAGAATTTATGCTTTGAAAGATGAGCTTTTCAAGTACCCAGACTTCTGCTCATCCCATTGTGGGTACCCCGGTCAACATAAATATGGGTGAAATTTGAACGTGGCCGCTTTTTTGTCATCAACGGTGCGGACGCGGCCCCGTGAGGGGCTTAGTCAAGCTTACCAGAGCTTACCCTTTTGAGTGTCTTTGTTGCGAAAAAAATCTCAACTTCTTGCGTATCCTGTACAGGATTTTTTATAGGTGATTGTACATGGTCGGTATAGCTTGCTGGTCCACATGAACCTAGATAGCAGTTGTCTGCTCTGATCTTTGTGAATTGATCTTTGACTGAGCCACTGGATCCGGCTCCACAAGTTGCTAGAATCAATCTTGAACCCCGTGTTCTCTAATTGCAGGCACTCTCACACAAGTGATAGGAAAAATTAGGAAAAATTCTTTGGGTCTTTATTGATCATATACTCTCAGCGCCCCGCATCACAAATGCACTCATCAAAGACTCAAAGAGCAAGCCACAGTCCTTCGCCCCATCAGCCAGGCTCATGCTGGCGCGTGCTTGATAGATACGTAGCTGGAGATGACTCATGACACTTGAGCAGATTCACATAACAGATGAAAGAGAGGTTGATGAACTGCTCCCGCACCAGCCAAAGAGGCCAGCGAAGTTTGTGCGCCGATGTATGTATGTACATAGTCAGCCTGGAATTTGGCAGGGCCTTGAGGAAGTTTGGTTGAACAGGGCCCCGCAGCGGCAGTTCAATTGTGGCTTGCGACGAAAGCCGCCGATTGGCAATGGTTGTACCCAGTGTGTATGTATCAAGTAAATGAGAAAATCACATATATTGACCACCCCTTGCCGTTGCTCTTTGAACCATTTCGCAACTTTGAAAGTTAAGACTCGAGATTTCTGAGCATTTTCCTTACGATTTTTTTTATTTTTCCCATCATGAGAACTTCAATCTTTTTACAACTACTTCCTACCCTGCTCGTGGGGATTGCTTTTTTCTTCCCTCAGACTGCTTCCAGGCCATCAGCCTTGGCTTCCACTCTCATTTCTTCGGGTCGCGAACAACTTAACAAACTCGCTAAGCGAAAGTGGACCTTCTTGTCCTATAAGCAACCTTTTGCTGGAAACGAAGATGCGACCTTGATACCACCCTGGTACATTTTGTACAATATGGTGAGCCTATTTCTTTGGTCTCCGGTAGTTGGCCAAGAAATATACAGTTAACATGCAAGTTCTTCATGTATTGTCGTAGATTTACAACCGGAAAAAGACCATTGGTCTTGAAGAAACCGTCCTTTATGGCACTAATGGTACCACGGTTCATTGGGGAAACTATCTTAAGATCGCGAAGGTCGACAGCACGTGAGTTCACCAAGGCAGTGTTCCAAGGAAGTGTTGAATGCTAACCATCAATATTTCCTAACCTGTCTCACAGGTCCAACGTACCCAAGAGCTATTCTTTCCTTGGGATGACCTCGGATCTGAACAACAGGATTAAAGATTACTCCTCTATTCCAGCATCATACAAGGTGTGTTGAGTCATCAAAGCGACATAATTGCAGTGTGAGGTAGGCGTTCACTGATATTTTGCTTCTAGTGGTCTCGTCGTAACCGTAAAGCAGGCTTCAAAGGGAACGTTTGCTTCGACTTTGTTGTTTCCAATGGCCCTAACAAAAAATCGGACCACGAATTGATGCTGTGGCTCGAATGGGAAGGAGGTCAGGGGCCAATCGGTACTGGCGATGCCACCATGCGAATCAAAAACCTTTACGGTCAAGACTGGACCTTGTACCAGGGCATGAACACCGACATCAACGTTCCGGTTAGGTCTTTGGTTCCCGATACCCCATACAAAAACTTCTTCGCGGGTGACATGAAGGATTGGTTGATGAAACTCGTCGAGGCTAAAATATTTCGAGACGACGCGTACCTCTTCACAGCCAATCTAGGGTTCGTGAATGATTAAATTAAAACGCTATATCACTTACCCAAACCTGATTATCCCTCATTTCCTTTTTGTTCAGGATGGAAGCATTTTGGGGAGAATCAATTTTCTCGGCACACTCCTCGCTACAGCTTTTGTGGGATGGGAACCATCATCAAAGTGGCTACATGCCCCCAAGCTATCAAACACCCACTCCCGGAAGTGTGGTTCCAGGCTACGAGAACACTCGCTGATGTGGTCTCAGTGATTTATACCTTGTGACCTTTGAGTACCACCTTGAGATTCATCTTGTTCTTCATTCACTCATTGTCAGGGACAATGTAAAAGTTTTGCCATATTTGCTCTTGATTGTCACTCTTTATCAACTATTTGAATTTTCTAAACTAGATGTATACTAGGGTTTGCTATTGCATTAGCTCTTACAGATGTGGTTTCATATCCTATCACTTGAAGTTGCGCTAGCTGGAAATTTCATAGACATTCAGTTTGCGGACCACCATATACCACATTTCCAATATGAACTCACAACCGGAAATTTGATGTGGAAAACTGAGAAATAATTTGAAGCTCCTGGAATATATTGTTTGGGTGAGGTTCCTTGTGTTTCTCAAATCATCATTGATGTGCTGCCCTGAGAATTCGGCCAATAGATGTAAGTAATTTTGAGTCGTACTGTAAGGTTGGTATAACCTTCACTGAAGTCCGGAAACTTTGTCCGGCACGACTCACTCGAGAGCACTAACTCTCAAACTTAGCAAAGTCCCTCGTTTTTGAGCTGTACTACTGGCCAGCTCAAACAAGGGACTTACGCGTAAAGTCGAAATTTTGGCGTGAGATCGGCCGGGGCTTTTGCCCAAAATCTAGTCTTCTTATGAAACATTTTTTTCCAATTATAAATTTACCTGGCCCAAAGTTGAAAGATGTGCGCCCTGGGTGTCTCTATAGCCTCGTACTCTTAGCTTCTAAATATGCACAGCCAACAAAGATGCCTTGGATTGAAAAATCCGAGGTATCATTGGACTCAAATCCTCGGACAAAATCTTTCCGAGGTTTTGATCCAAGGTATTATTTTGCGTCAAAAAATACCTCGGATCAAATCCTCGGACAAGACCTGTCCAAGGGTTTCCATCCAATGATGCCTTGGATTTTTCAATCCGAGGCATCTATGTTGGCGGTGATGATGAGTGGTTGTGTAGATATGCATAAACTTCTTTCAGTGACCAAAGTCGAAAATCGAGTAATTTGGGCTGCTCCGCGTCTAAAAGTTGGGATTTGGGCGTAATTGAAACACCAAGATTCTCATTTATTTTCAGCACAACTCATGTTATTGGGATACTACAAGCGTGAGGTTGTAGCCAAGAGTGAGGCTCGCATTTTTCATTTTTGGGCTCAGGAAACTTATAATTGCAAAAAAAAGTTTTATAAGACACCTAGATTTTGACAAAAAGCCCCGGCCAATCTCACGCCAAAATTTCGACTTTACGCGTAAGTCCCTCATTTGAGCTGGCCAGTACAGCTCAAAAACGAGGGACTTTGTTAAGTTTGACTAACTCTGAACTTCTTTATATATTACGAGGCTAAAACTAGCTCCAGAAAGTCCAAAATAAGGCTCTCAGATGAGTCAGCTAAACTAATCCGATGAAAAGACAAACTTAACATAAGTCCCATGCAGACCTAACCACCAACTCCCGCGAGGGACTTACACGTAATGTCATTTTTTTGGCCTGAGATCGGCCGGGGTGTTTTGCCAAAATCTATCTGCCTCAAAAATCTTTTTTTTACACTTTCAACTTACCCTTGCCCAAAAATGAAAGTTGTGCGCCTTACTTCTCTCTAAAACTCAGCGCTTCTAGTATCCTAATAGCACCATTGGTTCTGGATTGAAGTGTCCATTATCTATGTGGAGTGCACTATAGAGATGTATGAACCTCGGTAAAGGTGTTGTTATATGAGTGTTCTCTCTTAAGTATCTGAGGACCTCACTACACACTTACACGTAAAGACACAGTTTGACCATACAGTCTTTTTTGTTTTGTGTTACCTAACCCGGTATGAGTTAGGCCTCACGTGTTTGGGGGGGGCCGCTCGGCCGAAGACTCCCTGGTCAAGGGTGGATCTCTGCGTGGTCGGGTGTAGGGGTGGGTGGGAGGAAAGAAAAATTTGATAGGAACTAATAAGGGAAAGAAAGGATCTCTTTCTCCTGTGCGCTATGGGGATGAGTGTGAGTGGCAGTCAGAGTTTTTCACTCTGGCTGTAAGCACTCAGTGGATTATCTAATCCACATGAATAGGCCCGGTACTGCGTGCGGGCCTTTCATCTCCGGGGCCGTTCATCCCCATACTCATGGAACACACAGATACCGTCGTGACTTTGGGTATCCGTATCACAAAACTTTGAACTTCAATTGTACACCAAAACCAACATTTTAGACGCGGATCAGTGCAAATTACCCGATTTTTGTCTTTGAGCCCTTCAAGACTTTTATCGATATCTATGGAACCACTTAGGTTATTGATAAACCCAAAGTTTGAGGTTATAGCGACAGTCAAGGTGCACACTTTTCATTTTGGGGCAAGGCAAAGTGAAAATTGTAAAAAAAAGTTCCATAAGGCAGATAGATTTTGGCAAAACACCCCGGCTGATCTCAGGCCAAAAAATGACATTACACGTAAGTCCCTCGCGGGAGGTGGTGGTTAGGTCCGCATGGGACTTATGTTAAGTTTGATGAAAAGACTACAAAGAAATGATAAGAGAAGTAAATCTCACCTAGCTCCAGAAAGTCCAAAATAAGGCTCTCAGATGAGTGAGGACTTTCCGAAGCCGGGCGTTGAGGAGTAAGGTAAAGTGAAATCTAGCTAATCCCATGATCCTAATCCCATGACCTATTGTCTCCTGTGTAACCCTTACACCCTCCCTACTAAAAATAAAACACCCTTCAAAATTTAACTAACCAATAAAAACCATCTTAAGAAAATTGAAGAGAAAAAAAATTGGCATAACTCGCCCCAAAAAATTGACCATAACTTGTCCCAGTGCAATAAAACATAAAAAGGAAAATTTGTTGAAAAAAGAGAAAGGAGAATGAAAACTAAAAAAATTGAACAAAACTTGATGAGTAGAAAAATCTTTCAGCAAAATGTGATAAGGTGGATGTGTTAGAGGTTTAATTCATGAATTTATAATAATGATGTGAACTGATTTTTTTTGAAAACTTGATGTCTTGACTTTGAATCATAATGTCATTCTTGCTGTCTTGCTGATTTGCGTTAGTAAAAATGAAAATGAGTTCCTTTGTTGTTGATGTCTTGCAGTTTTCTTCCTCGACTTGCTGCTCCTTTGAAGTCATTGACGGGGATCTGCTTTCCAGGAGAGAATTCTGCTTGCCAGCCATTTCACGAAAAAATGTTGAGAAAAAAAACGTTATCAAACTCACATTGCGGGGGTGTTAACGCGTCATTTAGATGCACACCCCCTTGTCAATTGTCATAGCATGCCCCAGTGGCTCCAACTCCAGGACCAAAAAGGGCTGTTTTTGGCAATGACAAACTGCAAGTGAAATGTCCGGCGTTGATTCCTCGGCGGTTGTGGCGTGATGTTGGTCATTCATACTACAATTTCAAAAAGAGGAATGCTTGCCAGGGTTTTCTTTAAAACAAGGTAGAAAAACATTAAAAGACTCACATTGCGGGGGTGCTAACATATCAATTTTGATACACACCCCCTCACCACATTTCCTAGCATGCCCCAAGGGCTCCTCTCAAGACTCAGTTGGGGTGTTTTTTGGTTATGACAAGACCTGTTCAATGGTTGCAATGTTTGTGTTCTTGAACTCGTCCGGGTGGTATAGCTTGAGCTTTGATATGTGAAACACCGGGTAGGATTGATAATTGTGTCATGAATTCAACATGGTTAGAACCTTGTATGGCCCATTGTACCGGGCCCTCAATTTCCCAGTGCCTCTCGACTTGCTACCCACAACTTTTTGCCTGTCCAGACTATCAATCAAAACTCAATCTCCCACCTTGAAAGGTGTGCCCTCCCGGCGCCTAACATTGTAATGAGTTTCTTGGTCTACCTTACTGCACTACAGTCGGTCCCGCCAAGCTCCCCATTTGGACTGTCGTTGTTTGGTCCAATGTTTAACCTCGGTGTCTTTGGTTTCTGATAGGTTGTTAACTGGGAACAAACAAGGAATCCGTTCGTAGACAAAGTGAAACAGTGATACCCCCGTCGCCACGTTGACTGCCGAGTTGATTGCAAATTTGGCCAAAGGCAGGGACTGGAACCACTTCCCGTGACGTTTGCTTGCTAGATGCCGCAAAATTTGCCCAACCGTTTTGTTTGATTGCTCACTACGACCGTCAGCTTGAGGATGGTAAGATGTGGACAGACTCAACCTTACGCCAAGCAGTTCATGCAAGCGTTTCCAAAATCTTGATGTCCAAGCTTTATCACTATCCCCAATTATGGATGCTGGAAGACCAAAGATTGAGGACCAGGCTCCGAAAAGTCGCAACGCTGAGCGCTCTGCTGTATCTTTTTGTGATGTTGGTATCAAACATACAAAACCCGTCAGTCGGCAAGTACAGGATAAAATCATATTGTATCTGGCCACTTTTGGGAAGGGCCCAATGAAATTGATTGCGATTGATTGCATTGGTGGATGTGCTACGTCTGGGCATTGTAATTTCCCTGGAACCGCTGTTGTCCGGGCCTTGTTACGCTGGCAAGAGTTGCAGCATTTCAATTGGATGTCGATGTCTTTTGACATACCCGCCCAAAAAAAGGTGTGTCTTAGTCAAGTCAAAATCTTGAAGACGCCCAAGTGACCTAATGCTGTGTGCGCCTGGCTAATAAACTCGTGTCGCAGATTACCGCAGTTTGGTACCACCAACCTACAGTAGATTTCAAAAGTCTTGAAATCAACTTGTTTTCAAAACCAACAGATGGTCCGTGTGGCCTGCAGTTAAGTTCTGACAGGTGTCAAACTGAACTGCCTGATCAATCAAAGTAGACACTGCGAAATCAAAATTTTGAGATCAAAGACCTCAAACTCATTGAAGTTGTTATCTAACGGTGGCGTAGTGGAGTAGAACAAGGTTCTGAATGACGTCTTGCTGTCAAGTTTTGTGTTCGACTCGCTCCCTTCCTTTTGGTTCATGTCTCGATTTTGCTAAGATAGTCAACAATGAAATGGAAACAAAAAAAATCTGATGCATGACCAAAGTCACTA